CACGTCTCTCAAGACGGCTAAACCCGAATGATTCTAGTTCTAGGTCTTGTGTTAGTTCTAGTTTTACACTAGCAATATCACTAGAACTAACACAAGACCTAGAACTAGAATCATTCGGGTTTAGCCGTCTTGACAGACGTGCGGCTAAATCCGAATGTTTCTAGTTCTCGGTCTAGTGTTAGTTCTAGTATTGCACTAGCAATATCACTAGCCGCAATGCCTGTACTATTAAGCTATACTGCGTTTTATGTGGGACAGTGCAAGTGCATAGTAGTTTCGTAACTATGGTTACTGCATTAATATATTACGACTTATATGAAATTCCCACGCTTATAGGTAAACATAATTTTGCAAAAACGGCGAAACAAGTCTATTTTGGGTTTTTCAAAACACACATTTTGAACCTATATTCACTTCCCGATAGTCATTTGTTTTTAAATTATGACGTCATCAACAAAAGTTAAACGAGTTATATGAAATTCCCACGCTTATAAACATAATTTTGCAAAAACGGCGAAACAAGTCTATTTTGTTTTTTCAAAACACACATTTTGAACCCATATTCATTTCCCGATAGTCATTTGTTTTTAAATTATGACGTCATCAACAAAAAATACACTTTTATATTCCGTAATAAAAAAAAAATTGTTGATGATACTTTATATATATATATAAATATATTATATATTGTGTTAAAAGATTAATTTGAATGTAATAAAATTTTATTTATTGGAAGACGTAATGAAACGAAAAAAAAAAAAATATTGAACGGAAATTACGGTCTCTCTTATTTTCCCTTTTCTATAAACCCTAAATTGTCCCTGAACTGTTTATTTTTTTTTAATATATATTTTTTTTAAAGCGTGTGTTACGAGAAGGCCACCCGATTTTTTAAGTAATTAAACCCGCAACATACGCAACGCATTGACTGAGGTATATTTTTTTATTTTTATTAACTTTTTTAAAATTTTTTTTGATATATCTTATTTCTAATCAGGAACTGAGAAAGGAATGCGCCGATCCGGGATGATTTGCACCACGGGAGCGGCCGCGACTTGTGTGATTGTATTCGTTACTTTTCGAAAAACCCTGAGTAGTTATCTTATGGACTTTTTTGTTGGGTGCCGGGATTCTTCAACATGTCTCTTTAATATTACTTTTTGTTCTGACTTCTCGACTCACTCTCACTTTCTCTCAACTCGGACTCTTGAGCAAGCTACTACTAACAACTCAATACGGATAGCTATATCGAAAAAGATAAAAATAGGAACTTCGTGAATCACCTAAAGCTTCTTCGTTTTTTTTTTTTTGTTTTTTGTTACATCGCCTTTCGTTTCAATTCGTACAAAAAACGTCATATAGTGTCCGGACGCAAAACTCCGTCGCGCCCACTCATTTTTATATTATTATTATTTTTTTTTTAATATTTTTTTATTTCTCTTCAGTCTTCTCCGGTATTTGCTTTTAAAAATATTACGACTTTTCGATTTTTTTGCAAATATAGGAATGACTCCCCTTTTTTTACTTAATATTTTCTTTAAGTTTAAATAAAAATTTTATAATCACAGGTGTAGCTGTCGCCGTTATTTTTTTAAATATATATTATAAATAAATGTAACTTTGTAAACGTTAAAAAAAAATTTTTAATTAAAAATGTGTTGGTTAAAATGACTAGATAAACGACTAGATTATGTTAAAAAAATTAATTAAAAAATAATAAAATTAAATAAATATTTTTTGTTGATTAAAAATTTTTCTCAATTTACAAAGTTACAAAATAACTACGCTCAACATAATTCTGACTTGAATCCTTATGCTGGCGTGAGTGTAAATGTTATCGTAATAGGTGCTGACTGTTTTTGTAAAACCGGCAAGAACACTAAAGATGGTAAAAGCCTTCGTTCGGGGCTCGCCTCTTCAAGTGTGAATGGTTGCATGACGTAATTTGACGCATCATCCGTTTGAGGTAACGCATAAGTAGCCGGAAGTTGACTTCTCTTAGCCATATCTTTTAAAGACGAGCCAACATCGGGATCACTCTTTGATGTTTTACGACGCGACTTTTTCGTTTTCGTTTTTGCATCGTCGGTGTCTGGTTCTGAGAACCCTTCAACGAGTTCCGCGGGATCTTTCGGATCCCCGTCGCCGTTTGCATTAAAAAATGGCGGAAGCGGGAAAAAGGGGTGTTGGGTGAAAACGTGGTGTTGGAGTAGTTCGGATTGATGGAAGGTTTGTCCACAAACGGGACATTTGAAGTCAGCCTCCGTGTTTTGCATGTGCGATCTTTCATGGACGAACAAAAACGGCAAAATCGGAGTTGTGAAGGGGCAATAAGAACAATGGTATGTTTTGAGGTTTGATTCGTCGTCGCCGAAGATGCTTGAAAGGACGTTTTGGATTCCGATTGGGTTTGGGTTTAGATTTTCTTGGCCACTTGAAGGAATTTTTATTGTTGGACTTGCTCGTTCAACCGGTTGAGGCGTTCTGGGTTTTTGGTTCAAACTGTGTTGGAGTTGTTGTTCTAGTTCCGTCCATTTATCTACCCCAGCTTGTCCGTGATCGCTTAATAAGTGAGCTTTTAACCATTTTGTGCTGCGAAAACGCCGACTACAAATGCCGCAAACTTCGGTGAAATGCGTAAAGTATCTATGGCTTAAATCGGCTAAATCAGTCGGTTTTAATGAGGTATCATCGATGGGTGGTGGGGGCGGCTGGTCTTCTCCTTTTCTTGGTTGTAACAGGCTTGATCCGTATTCAACAATACCATGCGTGTTGTGTTTGTGAACTCTTAAAAAATATTTACTACAAAGTTCTTTGTTGCAAATGTCGCAAATGACTCCGCCAATTTGAGCACCGTTTTCGATTTCTATTCCATGCATTCTTTGCATGTGGGTTTTCATAAAATATTTATTACATAATTCTTTATTACAAATTTCACAATAACTACTCGTGGGTGTCATATTCATTGGAGGTCTTCGTTCTGGATTTACTTGATGTACTCTCGGGGCTAATTTTTCGGGTGTTGTAAATCCGTTGAAATCTTCTTTGACTTCGTTCGAAGATTCCATTAATTGTTTTTTCATTTCTTGAACACTCTCACACATAGTATTATTGTTGGTGTTTTCACCGAGTTCGTTGGGTTTCTCGACGTCTTGTTGAATATCATCGAGAAGTAGACCGTGTTCGGTCATCATATGAGCGTGTAAAAAGTAACGATTTTCAAATTCTTTGCCACACACGGTACAACTACAATTAGTTTTATTGTTAACGTCTAAATCATTTAATTGCAAAATCATCGTTTGAAGTTTTTGTAAATCTTCGCTAATTGTGTCGTTAGGTTTGATGGAATCGTCGATTTGTTTATTTTCTTCTTCGGAGCCGTTCGAGGATGATTCTTGGTTAGTGCTTAATTTCGACAAATTCGGATTGGCGTGCACGCTGACGTTGTGTAGTTGCAACAGCGAAGCGTTTTGGAATTTTATACCGCATAATTCGCAAGAAATATCCGTCGGCGATGAGGTTTTTCTATCACCTTGAAGCATGCTTGAATTTGCTTGTTCGGCCATAATTAAATTTAGCGGACTCGTTTGCGCGTTTTGATGCCACAACATGTTTGAATTATCCATTTTGCTATCTTTGCCGTCATCCGGTATATAAATCCCGTGTCTTTTCATTTTATGTGTTCTAAGAAAATATTTGTTACAATACTCCTTACAGCAAATCTCGCAAAAAGCTTTTGGGTTCATAACTCCGATTCTTCTTAATCGGTTCGACAAATCAAGTTCTCTTCCTTGTTGTTGTCCCGGCGACATTTTACATGGTGGGGTGGAGTAGTAGAGATTATTATCAGTATCTATGATCTCATTTTTGATCATATTCGTGTTTGGACTTGATGATGGTTCATCATTTCTTTCGTATTCTTTATTCTCCGGTTCGTGATGTGTTGGTAAGGTTGGTAATGTTGATATAGTTGCTAAGGTTGATGTGGATATTCCGTTAGTGTCGTTTTCAATATCTTTTGGAACATCTCGTTTGGGTGGGAGATTCGGTTTGGAAATTTTGTTCGCAAAAGGGTTTGCAAATAAATCGGAAAACATGTTTAGAACTGGTTTGGGCTCGGTTTTTATATCTATTGGCACATTGCTTGGTAATTTAACGCTCCCACCAACAAAACTAGGAACGGTAACCGGCGTTGAAACTCCTTCGGTATTCGGCGGATCTGTATAGATTCCATGTTTATTCGCTTTATGGGTTTTCAAAAAGTATTTGTTACAAAATTCTTTATTGCAAAGCTCACAGTAAGCGTCCGGATTAAAAATTCTTATTGGTTGTCGCGGTGGAACAGCATCCGGTTGAGGAAATTGTGTTAAGGACATAAACATATGATTGGCTGCGGGAAACGTTAAAAGGTTAGGATTTAACCATTCTTTATTAGGCATCTCGTTCATCCACGGCAACTGTTCTTGTCGAGGTGTAATCGACCTTTCAGGAATTAAAGACGTCACCTCTTCAACCTCTTTCTTACACTCCAGCGAGTGCTCAAGCCTAACATGATTCTCAAGCTTTTCCGTCGTCTCACACGGCAAGTGACAAATCGGACAGCGCAAATCGTGCTCTTGAACTACCCTTTCCAATGGCTTACCTTCGGTGGCGACTTCAGTATCTAAAGCTGAAATCCTCACCGGAGTCGATTGTTTACGTCTTTTTTTACAGGATTCCGCCGGCGATGGTGGCAGGCATCGTTTTGTTGGTTTCGTGGGTTCGAAGTCCTGATGCTCGTTGGACTCTTCTTGTACGGCAGGATAAACGCCGTGGAGTGGTGCGGAGTTTGAAGGCAACGTGACTGAGGTCGTCATTGTTTTGTTGTTTAGGCGACATACAATTTTTTTTTTCAATTGAGGTCTCTGAAAAAAAAAATTAAATTATAGATAACTATTTATTTAAAATTAAAAATCTTAATATAATCATTTATATCTAAAAATAAACAAATTCGTCGACTTGGTATCAACCTTGATGTACATGGCATGATTATTTCTGGAACTTAAGTTTGTATTCCAGAATGTTTGAAGTACCATTTAATTGATTCACTAATTAATTAATAAATTTAATTAATTGATTAGTATTTGAACTTATTTGTGTGATTGAAAAATTTTAGAACTGTGCAGTATTTTTCCAGTCTCCCTACTTTATGCCAAATCTCATTTTCTTCGTTCTAGTCACTTTCAGTCTTCTGCCTCCATTCTGGCCAGTTCCTACTTCTCTTACCAGTATCTTTCCAGCCTCCTTACGTTCTGCCATATCTCTTTCCTTTTTTCCCAATCTCTGTTTAGTACTTTATGAACTCCCTACTTTATGCCAGGTCTCTCTTCCTTCTATTATCAATCTCTTTCCAGTCTCTTTTTTCTTTTTGACATTTTCTTGCCTTCGGAGTCTTTTTCACACTTCGTCTGTGTCATAGAATACTGGCAATAACATTTTTGACATCGCAATTTTTGATTTTTTTTTCGAACAACCTCGACAACAACAAACCTAAACGGATTTATTGAAAAATAAGAGGCAGCTAAAGCTGTATTTTTCTCGATATTTATGCATCTGAGAGGAAAAGTGAAATTTGCTACAACTTTTGTTCTAAAAGTTTTTTTGTAGTATGCTCCGAATCTCGAGTGTTGAGAAGTGAAGATTGAAGATTTAGGTTGAGTGAAGATTTAGGGCGGCCGACGTCTTCGAAGTCGGCCGAGATTATTTCTTATATCAAGAGCACTCGTGATTCGGAGCATGTTATAAAAAAACCTTTAAAATATATTGTACTAAATTTTATTGTTAACAATATTGCTCTCTTTCACTTTTGCTCGCAGATGCATAAATATTGATAAAACCAAAAATATAACACATATGATGCTCAATTGTTTTTTAGAGTATGGCATATGATAGAATATTAAACATGGAGCAACATTTCTTCTATAACATTTTATCATATCTCTAAAAATAATATATAAAATATATCCTAATATATAAAATTTTCTTAGATGAAAGTATTAAATTAATTTTTGAGAACAATTGAACACCAAAAACAAAAAGAAATAAAAAATTTTGAGAAAAATTTTTTTTTAATTTTGAGAATTAAGACATATTTTTTATATATATTTGAGGATTTCAATTTTAAAGTACCTTAAAACCCGTAGAGGTCCTAATTAGATGCTATCCTCTACGAATTAATTATAAAATAAAAAAATATATATAAAAATTAGATTTTGGTTTTAAATACACTAAAAGTTAATTTGATAAATCAATTAATTTTAAAAAATTAATCAATAATTTTGGAGGAATTAAATAAATAAAGGAAAAATAATGAAATATAAATTACCGTAATTTAAAAAAGGCACTGTCACTGTTTATAACAAGTAGGTAAACACATTCACTATTAAAGTTTGTCACACGAACAAAAAATAAAAGGGGGTACCATGAACATGTATCCGTGACGGGCACTAGGGCCGAAGTGCCATATAAAAGGTAAACCAATTCGAAATATTAGTCCCCACCCTAACTTCAGTTAGTTTATAGAATCAACCCCCTACGTAAAGTCGAATGACATTAATTTATGTAAAGAAACCTCTCGCGACATACATATTTTATAACTCTTATTCGATTTTCGTTTCAGGAAAAATTTTTTCTTCTGTTTATCGGTGGCAATAATCGTGGTACATTTTTCATTGGCCGCCTAAATATTATCGATCGGAGCTTTCAAGTTATTTTTCTCTCCTTCCTGCGCGCCGTATACTTTACTTTTTGGGGGGAGAGTTCGGAAAAAGGATGACGACCAAGGAAAGCTTTTACAAATAAAAGCTCTGTAATAAACGCTTGTGTAATGATTATTATTGTGGGTGGAATCAAAAAGACGGCTGCACTAACGTTATCGAAAAAAAAATAAATAAAAATTAGGCGATAAAAAGTGCTTTTATAAAGAGTTGTCTGTATTTAAATAGAGGCATAACGAAAGCACCGGTTAATGTCAACAAAGATAATCGAAGCGAAAATTAAAAATAAAGTTCTGAACTTATCGATTTCGATTCCATGTGGTGATATTTTTATTAAAATATAATAAAACAGAATGTCACAAAAATGATTAAAATATAAAAATAAAAAATATAAAAATAATAAAGTAAGGAATCTAATATATATCACGCAATGCTAAAATAAAAATATATAAGTGCGTGAGGGGAGCTTTAGGAATTTCTAAGAAATATGGAATTATCGATTTATAATGTTCAAAAAAAAGACACATTTGTCCCATAACTAAATGCCGAGTGAAACTGTAGCTGGGGGTGAGAGAGAAAGTGAACGTAGCTTTCAGTGTGTGCGTGTGTGTAAAATCGTGCTTGTTTCGATCAATAGTGCCCTTCCACTTTTCCACACAGCCCTGAGACCACTGGTCAGCTTTATACTAACACACTTTTAAAACATAATTTCGAAACGTGACACGCCTAAAATTCAATTCACCCTTAACGTTATTATTTTTTTAGAAAATTAAATTTTAATTAAAAAAAAATTCCGATAAAAATTTTCATTAAAAATAATATTTAATTGACTTAATATAAAAAAAATGTTCGTCATTAAACCTTCGCCCTAAAAAAAGAATAATAATAAAAGAAAATATCGATTGGCCATTAAAAAAAAGATAGAAAAATATGATTAAATTATTAAGACCAATAAAAACTCAATTTCATATTAATAACCACACATCAATTTGAAATAATTACCTTTTAGTGTTTAAAACCACCACCGCTTCAACAAAACGCAACAAACAAAAGTCGTCACAAATAACTCAAAAATAATGAAAATATCGTAAAAAAAATACTCACACAGACCACAATTCTTCAGACGTACCCCATTGTGAGCACCTAACAACACTAGTGGACCCTAAGCTACTGATAATTTAGTACGCTAGGTCCGATTTCGTCATGTGCGCAACTCGCATCAAATTTTGATGATGGCAATAGCCACCATTCGCGAAAAGCCGGAATTTCTTCCGTGCAACCGCTGGGCACTGCTTATTTACAAATTTCTCTATTTACATAATCGATATTATTATCTCTTCGTGACAATATCTAACCGGTTAGCCGCGAGATAAAAAAGTCACCCGTCCGCAACGACTGCGACGCCCCCGAAAACAAAATTTTTTTTCAATTTATTACTATTAAGCATTATTACAATCTTATATACCATTCTAACAACTTCGAAGAAACCAACATAATTGCATACAAAAAGTTAGATAAAAAAAATTTTTCTTATTAGACAACATCCAAAAAATCCCCAATTTGAATTTGAAATTAAGTTAAAAGATTCCTGTAATTTCTAGTTATCTGTAAATTGAAATTTTTTATAAAAAAAACTCTTTAACTTGGAAATTTTAAATTTGGTGCAATTTAAATTCAAATTTTGTTTGAAGTGAAAATTTAATTTTTTTTAATTCATTGATTTTAAAAAAAATAAAATTTAAACTAAATTCTTTTTTCATAAAAAAACCGTTTAACCTAGAATCTTAAAATTTGGTACAACCTAACCTCAAACATTCTTTTATATTCCCAAAAAGTTTTATTATTTAATTCCAAGTCATTGAGGAGAAAAAATGTTTTTCCTTGATTTCATTTAAAAAAAAACGCGAAATTCAAACCATAAAATTTGTTATAAAAAAAGCTGTTGAACCTAGAACCTTAAAATTTGGTACAACCTAACCTCAAACATTCTTTTATATTCCCAAAAAATTTTATTATTTAATTCCAAGTCATTGAGGAGAAAAAATGTTTTTCCTTGATTTCATTTAAAAAAAAACGCGAAATTCAAACCATAAAATTTGTTATAAAAAAAGCTGTTGAACCTAGAACCTTAAAATTTGGTACAACCTAACCTCAAACATTCTTTTATATTCCCAAAAAGTTTTATTATTTAATTCCAAGTCATTGAGGAGAAAAAATGTTTTTCCTTGATTTCATTTAAAAAAAAACGCGAAATTCAAACCATAAAATTTGTTATAAAAAAAGCTGTTGAACCTAGAACCTTAAAATTTGGTACAACCTAACCTCAAACATTCTTTTATATTCCCAAAAAGTTTTATTATTTAATTCCAAGTCATTGAGGAGAAAAAATGTTTTTCCTTGATTTCATTTAAAAAAAAACGCGAAATTCAAACCATAAAATTTGTTATAAAAAAAGCTGTTGAACCTAGAACCTTAAAATTTGGTACAACCTAACCTCAAACATTCTTTTATATTCCCAAAAAGTTTTATTATTTAATTCCAAGTCATTGAGGAGAAAAAATGTTTTTCCTTGATTTCATTTAAAAAAAAACGCGAAATTCAAACCATAAAATTTGTTATAAAAAAAGCTGTTGAACCTAGAACCTTAAAATTTGGTACAACCTAACCTCAAACATTCTTTTATATTCCCAAAAAGTTTTATTATTTAATTCCAAGTCATTGAGGAGAAAAAATGTTTTTCCTTGATTTCATTTAAAAAAAAACGCGAAATTCAAACCATAAAATTTGTTATAAAAAAAGCTGTTGAACCTAGAACCTTAAAATTTGGTACAACCTAACCTCAAACATTCTTTTATATTCCCAAAAAGTTTTATTATTTAATTCCAAGTCATTGAGGAGAAAAAATGTTTTTCCTTGATTTCATTTAAAAAAAAACGCGAAATTCAAACCATAAAATTTGTTATAAAAAAAGCTGTTGAACCTAGAACCTTAAAATTTGGTACAACCTAACCTCAAACATTCTTTTATATTCCCAAAAAATTTTATTATTTAATTCCAAGTCATTGAGGAGAAAAAATGTTTTTCCTTGATTTCATTTAAAAAAAAAACGCGAAATTCAAACCATAAAATTTGTTATAAAAAAAGCTGTTGAACCTAGAACCTTAAAATTTGGTACAACCTAACCTCAAACATTCTTTTATATTCCCAAAAAGTTTTATTATTTAATTCCAAGTCATTGAGGAGAAAAAATGTTTTTCCTTGATTTCATTTAAAAAAAAACGCGAAATTTAAACCATAAAATTTGTTATAAAAAAAACTGTTGAACCTAGAACCTTAAAATTTGGTACAACCTAACCTCAAACATTCTTTTATATTCCTGAAAAGGTTTTCATATTCCAAGTCATTTTCACAACATCAAATTTAAACGACAAAATATTTATGAAGTTTGAATCTTAATCTATAATCTACGATTTGGTATAGATAAAACAACATTATTTTTACAGTAGCGTACTTTTATTTATCCGAAACACACAATATAAAAACAGCTAAAGAATCTCCGTTTATATCAACAATTCTCATCTCTATCCAAAATAGATACAAACTATTACCCTATCAAAAATTCGTATATAAAATACTTTTGGAATAAAAAATCGCTAATATTTAAACGTTATGATATAAGATACGGCACCTCAACAAAGATATTCAACCCAAACTGTTTTGAATATCTTTTTTTAAAAAACCGTTTTTTTTTCTCGGTTGTTTGATATAAAAACCCCTTCACAATTCAAAAACTGGTTTAGTACAAAATGTAATAAAAAAAATAAATTGCGAACAAAAAAATCTTGTTATCTCTCCTGCAAAATCCAATCATTCCTATAAGAATTTTCAAGAAGAAGAGCTTAAAACAATTTAAACATCATCTCAGTCAATTTTTCAAATAAACAAGCTTTGTTTAGACCCAATACTGGTTTCTACGCAGCATGATGTTTCTACTGGGACAAGCGGGATCGGAAGCATCACAACTGCTCCATTCATCACCAGGTTCATCAACACCATACGGATACCTTCCGTGAATATCCACGTCATTCCGATTAATTGGCGTCACTTTACACTGTGGCAAAGCTGTCAAAAGTGGCGAAGAAAAACCATCTTTAAGCGGCGGAGACGCAGCCATCAAACGATCTGGAGGACGAGGCAATGGAATCGGCTGCAAACATTGTTCTTCTTTGTTCAAAGGTTCAGAATCCATCGATCTACATTTTACCACGATTACAATTAAAATTCCCAAAAGTACAACACCAGCGATCATACTAACTGTAAACAAAAAAAAAATTATTACTATCTAATTTTGTGTTTATATTTTTTCTGAAATCGATATTAAATTTATTCCCAAATTGATTGGATGAGCCACTTGACACTTTGCATGTTTTGCATATTTGCATACCGTCTCCAACAGAAAAGATCACTCATTTTAAGGACCGTTATATGCAATTGATGTCTTTCATCAAACGGATTTGGCATAAAAATCCGTCTCCTGATGAAAGATAATTTACAAATTTTAATACAAAAGCAACAAAATAAATTTATTATTTAGGAATTTTAGAAAATTGTTATACAACTTCTGATTCAAAGCTGTTAGTTTGGTTGCCTATATTTCTATAGTTCACCAATCATAACAACGATCTTTATTACTTCATTAAATTCGCTTTAAAATGTTTGTTATTTCATCATAATATCTCAAGTCGTTCTTAAGATATGAAAAAATAGATTTCTCCGAATGTTCTTACGATATTTTTAGGATTTATAAAGATGCTTATCTATTTTATCACTGTGAGATGTAATTATGAACATCTTATTTAATTTTTGAGAGAAAAAACCCATTAAGATTGATTTCAGAAAAAATATAACAAAGAAATAATTATTTTTAAATTACCAATAAAAAAATAATCTCTTGTAACACTAGAGTTGTAATCGCCTTCATGACCGGCTGGATCTTCAGGTCCTGGTCTAGTAGCTACAATATCATTACTGGCTGATGATCGTATATTGATTTTAAGTTCACCTACGGCTGGTTGAAAAATTCCCGCTCCCAAAGTGAATTCAATTTTATCCTGAATTCCATTCCAACCAACTTCGATGTTTTTTAAGACGTAATAAATATATCCGCTTTGTAGCTCAGCGTGTGTAAAGCCATTAACGACGGTGTCAAAGGTGTTTCGATGCTCGCCCGAGCTCCGAATAATTTTCCTAATTTCGCCATATTTGGGTTTAGTTATTATTTTGTAGCTGGGGTTGGTGTTTGTCATTTTGGCCAACGGCGTTGCGTCCAAAACTTTTAACGTTAACCTCGTTTTCATGCCAGTTAAAGCTGTGAAATTTCCTATTTGCATTAACGGTTGAATAATGACTTTAACCGTAACAGTTTTTCCCTCGGAAATGTTCCTGTTTGAAATTCCAACGTATATATCAAAACTATCGTTTGCTGCAGTCATATCAAACTGCATATACATAACGTTTCTGTTTAACACATCTTCGTACTCAAAACTGGTGGTGTTGATGTCTCTTAGATAAATACCACCGTGTCGGGGAAAACTCCTCAAATAAAATTTAACGTTGCGTTTATCCGCGTTTGTATCAATAATAAATTGGTTTTCAGTTAAATGAACCACACTTGAAACTTGTTGCATAAAAATCGGGACACCGGATGTCGCGTTTAAATAAACCGGTATGATTTGAATGTTTAAAGCGGCGTACGTTGGTTGAAAATATCCATCGCTAACGCGAAAATGAATCGTGTCTGATAAACCATTTCCGTTATGGACATAAACAACTTTATCGTGGTTTATATCTTCTTGGGTAAAGACGTTAACAACGATAATTTCTGGTAATAATAAAATCAGTCCTTCTCGCGGTTCCGTTACGATTTCGTATTTAAGTTCGTTTGCGGAGGTGTCAAGATCTTCTGTATAGAGCTCGTGTCGCGAAATGGTATGATTGTGACCTTGAACAACTGAAAATCTCGGAGCGCCAGTTACCAGATGAAAAACTTGATCGTTTTTTGGATTTATTTTTATCGGAACGGTTACGTTACATAACATTATATGTTTGGGTAATAAAAAAAATGAAAAATAAATGTTATCGCCCAAAGAATCTGAATGATCATGCACGTAAACAACTTGTCCGGTTTCTAATTGATTACGGGTAAAATTCGTTGTGACATTTTTGTTATCTTTCAAATATATTTGTCCGTGTTGCGGGCACATCACTAAACCGTAAATGTTGGGTGATTGCTCGTTTGCGTGGTTTTCCAAAAATTTAGCTACGTCCGATAAATTAAGAATGATTGGCGTCATTCCGCCTTCATCTATTGAGAGATTTCTTGGTATTTCAACGTACGCATCTAAACCGCCAGATGATACTGATATATCTATCGATAATCTCTCGTTATATAAAGTCTCCGCCAAATGACTTTTTACATTAAACGTAAATGAGTCTTCTGAATACAATTTCGGCGAAGTTAAAGTTTGCTCATAATAAATTCTCGTTGAATTTAAGTCGCTTTGAGTAAAATTACTAACCATTAAGACGCTATGTTCCGTTTCCATCACTAACCTCCCTAATCGCGGAGCTGTGGTTATCTCATAATAAATCATTCGGGATTCATCGGAAATTGTTGAAAGTATGTAACTTGGGGTGATGTATTTTTTTTGAAACGGGAAAATATGAAGCGGTTTTGTTTTGACTTTTAATCGAACCTGCTTTGTTTTTATATAAAACGTATACTCTTTTGTACTATGTAAACCATCCGTTACATTAAACGTAAATTTTGCTTCTGAACCATTTAAATGCCGAAAAACAATCATGTTCATATTAATTAATTCTTGTGTAAAATATTGCAAAGAAATATCAGGTTGGGAAATTAAAGAAACGTTACCCCACCAACACCCCAAAACTTGATATTTTAACACTTCCAGCGGCCTATCAGCATCTTCAGCAGCTAAAAATGTGTTTGTAATAACAGCAACGCCTCCTTCCCACATAGTTAAGCCGGTATTATTAACAACGATAGGCTTTTGATCGTTCTTGGGTAAAATAACGATCGGTAAAGTCACGGTTTCGCTGCGTTTTCCTCCGGAAATTGCAGAAACTTTGATTTCGTCTAAAAGATTCTCTGAATCATCATGTTTATAAGACACCAAACCCGATTTGAGGTCTTTATTAGTAAACTTTTTCCACTTGGTACAACTTCTGCGTACTAAAATACATCCATACTTCGGTAATTCTAATAAAACATACTCGGAAATCTTCGATTTGTAATAATCGGTCAAAACGAATAAGTGAGCGATTGAAATGATTGATAAACCGCCTTCGGAAACGTTCAAAGTGTTCGTTCCCAAATAAATCCGATCGGGAATAATTTGTATATCTAAAACGACGTTTAACAACGAAACCATCCCGTTTGTAACGTTAAATAATATCCGATCTTGCGTTTCATTCGCCGCAGATTGAACATAAACCAATCTACCTTCATTTATTACCGATTGCGTAAACGATCGTACGATCGTATTTTCCTCACCAAATTTAAACGAAGCCAACATTGTTATATAACCATACAAAGGATATTCAGCTATGTAATAAACGATTGAAGATGGTGGAACTTCCGTTTGATAAATCTCTAACACTTTATTTGTAATCGGCGCACTCGTACTTTCTTCTATTACAAGTTGATTTGACGTTTTTAATACCAACGGGTCCCAATAACCCGCCGGTAACATTTGAATTCGAATTTGTGTCGTGTTAATTGCGTCCAAACACCGTACTCTTAATGTTATCTCATCGGCGTTTTGTGATGTTATATCGTTTACGTAGAGAAGTTTTCCCGAATTTATTTGTAACTGTGTGAAATGGAGTACTTCCTGAAAAAAAGAGAATTATGATTAGTCCGCGCAAAACGACTTTAGTTATTTTTTCTGGTACATATTATTTCATCTTAATATCTCAATTTGTTCTTAAGATATGATTTTTTTAATTTTCCGAATTTTAGCTTCTTACCTTATTATTTTCTCCAAAAATTAATCTTCCATATCTAGGTTTAATGGTAACTTCATAAACAACATCACCATCGTCAGCAAATAAATTCGTGGCATAGTTCAAGTGATCCTTCATTAATAAGCTTTTTCCTCCGTGTTTGACGATGACTTTTTTATGGGTGTAAACCCATAAGAAAGGGCCTAAAGCTTCGACTTCCAAGATTCCGTTGACGTGATTTTGCCCGTCGGTAACCCAAAGTTGTATTCGGCCGAATTTGTGGCCTTTATGTTTAAAAAGAATGTTCTTAGCGTTTAGGTCTTCTTGGGTAAATCTCGATATTTTTCCTTTTGTGAGTGCGTTGCAAATGTCTCCGTTGGGTATTTCTTGCCAGGTGTAAACGATGTCGGAGGGTTTGGTATCGATGTCTTTATCGGTGTATAATAAGTATTCGTTGGTTAGTAATTTTTCGCCGTTTTCGACGACGTAAAATTTTTTTTCAAACGCCCTTAAGGGGCTGTTATCGTTTTTGAGCGAAACATCGATATGAAAATTTTCGACGTATTGAAAATCCTCGTCTTTTCTTAAAGACAACACCATGAGTTTAAAGTTATCGTATTTCGTTTCGGAATTATCATGAACGTAAGATAATTGATTTTCTTTTAATTCTTTTAATGTAAAATATTCAGTTTTGTTTCTATCTAAAATACCCTGTTTGGTGATTTGTAAGTACCCATGATTGGGGGGTTTTGTTACGTTAAACACCAAATCCGTAACAAAATTTATTTCAACACTTAATCTATCCATTCCGATATCAACGCGTCCGCCTTCCTCAACTTTCAATCTTTTAAACAATACTTTTACGTGATTTATGGTATCATTGGGAGGCACGTAACTTATCGTTATATTACCCGTTACATTTTTACATCCAGGTGTTAAAACGCTATACGTGATTAGATCTAAAATCTCAGAGTAAGGCCTCTGATGTAATTTATATTTAATATTTTGAGAAATCACGTCTTCTTGCGAAAACGTATCGAGATATGTCATTTTATATTCGGATACAGCCCAAAATAAATAACCATAAACCGGCGGCGTGATTATCACGTATTTTATCGATGTCGTCGGTAAATTAACCGGTTGTGTTTGATAATGAAGATTATTCACACCGATTGTAACTTCTTTACTTAAATTTAAATTCACTTGAGCATTTTTCAACATGATTAATTTACATTTGGCGAAGCTTAACCGAAACGAATACTTTTGGGTTTTATTCAAAGACGTTTGGAATTGAAACTCATCGAAATCCGGAAGCGAATTCATATGGCGGTACCTAACGCGGTGTTGCCGTAAATCTTCGCTATTAAAAACTCGCGATATCTCCCAAATTCCCCCATTTTTCTCAACCTCAATCTCACCGAATTGGGGACTTTGCACGATCGTATATTCCGCATTTTCGGTCGTATTCGGCACATTTGACACAAAGCTAAGATTGTACGGCGTTAATAAACCAAACGATTCGTGAAGAAGAATCAGTCCGGTGTTGTTTTGTAACCGCCAATATTGAGGAAAAGTTATAACTCGTAATCGCCCGACTGGACTAGTTTCGATTCCATCTGAAACTTGTATGTTTAAATAAAATTCGTTTACATTCGTCGTCGACTCATCAACGAAGACCACTTTAAAATTGTTCAAGTCGTTTTGGCTGAAAGACGTTATTGGGTAACCAGAACGATCGATGTATTCAAAATGTCCAAAAGCGACTGGGTTTGTGTTGTATATTAGTTGATTTATTGATGTGTCTGGATCTGTTACATTCCATAAACTAGAATCTAACACTTTTCTTGATCCCTTAAATAAAATTTGGAAATTATTAAATATTATTATTAAAAAATTTTAATTAATATTTAAGTATCTAATGATTTAATTTAAATAATAGTTAGCTCTTAAAACAAAACATGCTGTAAACTCAACATTTTTATGTAACATACACTGTGTTAATTAATTATCGATTTGCGTATTGCAATACCAATACTGTGATATTGGTTGCATACTTGCAATGATGACCCTCTACACCAGGGTTTCCCAACCTTTTTTTTTTGTCGAACCTGCACAGATTATGAATATTTTGGAACACAAGTTGTAGCAAATTAAGGCTCCTTAACCGCTTGATGAGAATATGTTTGACGACAGAGAAACGAAAGTTCAAAAAAGGATAGCATGTACTGGCAAGACATTCCCACTGTTTTCCTATTGGGTAATATGCATTTTATCAATGAAGGAATGAATAAATAGATTTATGAATAATGTATTTACAACCTGAAACAATTAAGAACTGTGGGTACCTAAAATTTATTAAACTAAATTTATATTGAATAAAAATAATAAATTAAATATCGGTGAAACCCAAAATTAGTAAATAGTTGCTTGCAATCGGGGAGCTTTTTGACCTATACTTTAAAATTAGTACAGACAGTAATGTGAAGGGTTGCCGTTTGTTACCGCAAAGAAGTGCTGCATGTACATTGATGTCAAACACCAAGCATATTTAATTATTGCAATATCATTGCAGAGTACACACAAGTTATTGCAGTTTTTGAAACAGAAGTAAACCAGAAGAAAATAGAAGAAAAACCCCTAGTGACATAATTTCTCAACAATCGTAAAAATAATTCGTAAAATAATCGAACATATCTCTAAAATCGGAAAGGGTGATTTCTACCCTTAAAACGGCGATCGGGCAGAAATGACAATACACGTGTCGAATATTTTTCCATACCCTACTTGTATGTCAAGTTTCAAGAAAATCGCCGTATGGCACTTCCCTAGTGTTACTTGAAAGTATACAGGGTGATTCTCAACCTATACACATAAACTCGAGGATTTATTCATTATTAGTAAAAGTTTTTTAGTTTCTCTAAATCTAAATAATGTGTTTCCTGGAAAATGAATAGGTCGAGATGGTCCAATGACCTGGCTACCGTGATCGCCCAGCCTCAACCCTCTTGATTTTTACTTGTCGGGTCACTTAAAAAGCAAAGTGTACGTAACGGAAGTTAATACTGAGCCAATATTGCAAAATCATTTACATGCTGCTGCCC